AAAAGCATCAAATGTGAAACTGTCATTCTTGGTGACATAAAAGTCTACATGACTGCAACTTGTTAACTTGCAGTCATGTGAACTTCAATTCCAAGAATTCCACATCCAACATAGCAATTGCTGAGAATTGAAGGTCAATAAGCTGGTTAGAAGGAAAAAGAAGACTGAGACAAGAAGATCTGTCCAAGTAACAAGTGAATTCAAGAGAAATACAAGAATAGAAAAGCAATGCAATCAAATAAATATGAGGAATAAAGGATTACAACCAAATGGGAAGGGCAAGAAATTTATTTACGTAAATTACACATATTAATACTACATCTGGTGCAAAGATGGATTCAATAAACAACACAGAAGCCAATGTTCTACTAGATAAAGAAAAAAAGACACAAATGAATTATGCAACTCTTTGGATAAATGACACAGAAAATATCCCCAAATCAATTACACGTATCTTATTTATCATATTTATATAGCTGCCCATCTCACGGAATTTGACTCTGGGAGGTGTACAATAAAGAACAACAATATAAAAAGACAGTTAAGGTTTATATGAAGAACAGTGAAGATTTGATCATTAAAGCAAAGCCAGCCATACTAGAAAATAAAATGGGCCTTAAAAATATTGCTAATATCAAAGTTGAAGGAGTTGATGAAATATCAAGAGAATTTTTTAAAATTCTAAAAGATGATTCAATTAAAAGAGTTCATTCAGCCTGAAAACAGTATAATATTGGCCAAGAGCAATTTATTATTCATATATACACCAATCCATATACACACACATACACAAAATCTTTATTGAGATTACTGATCCATATAGCAATTTATAATCCCATATCAAACAAAAAAAATGCTAAAGAATGTTCAAAGTATCAAACAATCACACTTACCTCTACATGTTACTAGGATAGCACTCAAGATTTTGTAGTCCAAACTTTAACAACATATAGAAGCAGAAATTTACAAGTGGATTCCAAAGAGGCAACCTGAGATCACATTGCTAACATCTGATGGATGATGGGAAAGGTTGTACAGTTCCACAATGACATCTATTTTTGCTTTATTGATTATATTAATGCTTTTGACTTACTGTACAACAAGAAAATACAAATAACCCTTAAAACATGGGTGAATCTATAAAATCCACCTATCTGCCTATTTTAAATGTGTATATTGACCAGGAAGCAAAGTAATATGGAGTTCAAATGGAATGAGGCATAATAGAGATCTACTTGTGCCAAATTTGCATATTCTCACCTTATTGATTTAATTGGTATACAGAAGGTATCAACCTTATTGATTTAATTGGTATACAGAAGGTATCATTCTGGATTAGAAGAAATGGTATCATCATCAGACAAACATTCTTGAGGACTAAAGTGAGGAAGACTTAAGGAATCTCTGGATGAAGGTAAAAAGATTACAAAACTACTACAGAATATTAATAAAACTAAGAGTCTGTCTACAGGAAATACAAATACAATACAACCCAATACAAATTGGCAAAAAACAGCAACAGTGCTAATTTTCCTAGGCTCAGAAATTTCACAGTGATTTTGACTAGCCATGAAATAAAGAGACAAAACAGTTTATGGCAGATTAAAGTGAAAAGACATCACATTAGCAATAAAAGAATATACTGTTAAGTCACTGTTGACATGACTTGAAAGGTTAATAATCTGAATAACAAACAAAAAATGATGTATCGCAGTACTGGAGAAAATTATGGGGACATGCTTGTATAGCAAAAAAATAATAAGTAAATGGTTTGCTGCAAGTATCAGTGATGAAACTATACATGAAACATTTTGGACAAATAATTTAAAGGGAAGAGTCCTGTAGAAGAAAGATTCCGATGGTTTGGAGAACTGAAAACAATTGAAAAAGACATCATTAGAAAGATAAGTATCTACTATCATGGTGAGTTTACCAGCAACTGAATGATAGAATAATAACACTATTACAATAGGTCATCATTTGTTCTGATTCATGTATTTCCAGAACATTTTGAAAATGAAAGAGATGCTTTTAAAAAAAGATTCAATTGAAGTTACATCTTTAGTCTGAATTCAGAGTACATTCCAGATGAGTGCCCACAGTTGTTTTCTTTCTCTCAAAATATAAAATGATCAATTGGGAAGCATGTTTTGGAAATACATTGCTAACTTAAAATACAGTTTAGCTTTCACATAGCACGATCTAGTCTTCAAGTAAAAGACAGTATTGTGACAGGTCAGCCAACCTGATGCAGCTGGAACATACGTCAAATTATTAGTGATAAACTGCAGACCTATATTTTACTTGGATCAGCACCAACCATTGTGCAAAATAATTGAGTTTATCAATCAACCTGGTTTTCATTACAGCCTTTATCAACACCTGTGCAATACAAACCCTGCACACCTTCTGTGAAGGGAAATTCAAAAGTAAAAAAGAAATCCTATGTTTCTGCTGATGGTAGATGATGATTTCTGCCAGTCCCCAGAATATCTCAAAATCTGATTCTAAAAACACTAAGCTTTTAGCGCAGCTTCTAAGGCTGCACTGGAGAGGGAAGAAAATGCCTCATCACATGAGTTTAAGTTCCTGGGTGCAATATTGGATTTTACAACTTAATTTCAATACTGCATACAAAGCAGTAAATACAAAATTGATTTTAACCGTTAAAAGGACTGGTCTTAGATTCACTCCCAATAGTAAGGCCTGAGGCACGAAGTACATATGAATAAAATTTATATACTGAGTCATGCTTTTATAAAATGCTCACATGTAAGAAGTTTTTATTATTATAAACGGCTGGTTATAAATTTACCCACCCTTTCATCAAACACAGTAGTTTATACATGTAGTTTGAACTATCTTCTGGCAACAAACCTGTGAACTATCAGCGATATATTTCCTCAAAAATAAAGAACTACAATATTCCTCAGTCTTTAACTATTCCATTTTAAAATATGTATATTTTGGCTGAAATAGAAGAAGTCCTTGACTTATAACCATTTGTTTAGCAACTAATCAACTTTACAATAGCATTGAAAAAAGTAATTTACAAACTAGTCCTATCACTTATAACCCAAGCAGTATCGCCAACATCACATGATTAAAATTTGGGTGCTTGGAAGTGGCATGTAATTATGACAGTTGCAGCATCCCAGAGTTATGTCATCACTATTTGCAACCTTTCCCAGCTGGCTTTCAATAAACAATGAGGGTAAACATGATTCTTTCGTTGGAGTGATTTGCTTAACAACCATGGCAATAAAGGTAATAAAATTAGGTTAACAACCACTCTGCTTAGTAAACAAAATTCTAATCCCAATTGTGGTCATAAATTAAGGACTACCTGTATTCACCATCTGGCTTAAACAGAAGTTAAACTGACTGCCTTTTTGACTCATCTCTCAGTAGTATGCAAAATGAGCAAGAGCTACTGAAATCTCATTGGTACCAATGAGGTATTAAGCAAACTTTAGGCATTTTAATTAAATAGATAGGACACCTTTCATCTTTTTTTTACATAATCAAGGCAAGACCAGAATAAATAGACTCCTATTCAAAAAATATACTGCCAAGCAATACTTGTGTCACTGTCCTACAGAAGCAGTGTAGCTCAACACATTAAAACTGAAGCTTAGATTACTGTTCATAAATGGATTATATATGCTTGATTCTAAGTGCTTAAGCAGCCTAAAAAGTCTCACTTGATCCCAATATATTCACAACTTGGTGAATGCTATTGAGGAATGTGAGATGAGAGTTCCTAAAAAGACCCAATTTTTTATAGGACCTCTTCCAATATATTGTTTCTAACATGGAAGCAAAGAAGTCAGGGAAGATATGATTCTCCCCATTAATTTTACCCATTCCATTAGGTCTGTTAGGAGACCCACTAATTCATCCTGCAGAATGTTCTCTAAATGAATGCAGTGGGACTGGACTAAGACATAAGACGATGCACCATTATTTTCACAATCAAACTTTCCAAATCCTCTCCAGCCCTCTTTCCTCTAGTCTAGATTGCTGTAGATAAAAATCAATTATTTTCTATCCATAACAGGCTGCAGAGGACAAAAATGCACAAAGAAGTTGATTGAAATACATTAAAAAGATGCAGGAGTCACCGGCTGGATTTATACCTCAATTGTAAGCCAAAACAAACAGTATTATTGCTTAGAGCAATCTAAACCAATTTCTTCACATTGGTCACACCTTTCGGTATCTCCAGGTGAAGATCTAATTAAGTCAGGAGAACAAAGGCAAACGGAACTCTTTCCAAAACTCACCCCGTAGAGAGAAAATGTTCCTAAAAATGGTTGCTTGCTTGCTTGCTTGCAGAGTGTGAGATTCTCTGGCTTTGTAGGGCTCTGCCCAATTTCTATCAGGATTGCCAGTGAGGTTTCCTAAACCTGCCCCCCACCCTTTTTCTCCAGATTTACCTTCAAGTAAATCCAAGTACTTTACGAAGAATCCAGGTAACAAAACCACAATGACTCAGGTTTAAACTTATATATATTCCGAAGCACGAAACATCTTTTAACTTGTCAATAAACCTGCAGTGGCTAAGTCCCCTTTCTTTCTTCCCTCCTTCCCTCGCCTCCTTTGC